TTAGTTTTGCCCAGGTATCTTCTTCAAACCCTCTCTCTTCTCCACATTCTTCCCAGTTTCTATGTACCTTTACGATAGAAGCCAAATAGTTGTGTATAATAATTTTTGGGTTTGGGGTTTGGCGCCAATTATTTCATTTTGCCGCCTATTCTTATTTCGATCATATTATTCACGACAATCACAAAAAAATACATCACATTAATTAATAGGGTGAATAAAAAATGTACATATAATCACACTTAATTTAAAAGTGACATAAAAAATAAATATTATATACTTAATTAAATTAAGTGTGATTAAAATATCAATCTAATTTTTTTTATCACACTTTCAATAAAAGTGAGATATTTTTATTTGCCAAAGTATGATTGTCAACTATTTTTGTAGTAGGTGATATAATCACACTTTAATTAGAATATGTGATTAAAAAATATATAAATAATCACACTTTTAATTAGAATGTGTGATTAAAATATATATATATATATAATCACACTTGTTTTAAAAGTGTGATTAAAAAGTAGTAGTATATATATAATCACACTTTAATTAGAATATGTGATTAAAAAATATATAAATAATCACACTTTTAATTAGAATGTGTGATTAAAATATATATATATAATCACACTTGTTTTAAAAAATGTGATTAAAAAGTAGTAGTTATATATAATCACACTTTAATTAGAATATGTGATTAAAAAATATATAAATAATCACACTTTTAATTAGAATGTGTGATTAAAAAATATATATAATCACATTTGTTTAAAAAGTGTGATTAAAAAGTAGTAGTGTATATATAATCACACTTTTAATTAGAAGGTGTGATTTAAATATATATATATATATATATATAATCACACTTAATTGAAAAGTGACATAAAAAATAAATATTATCACACTTCCAATAAAAGTGAGACCTTTTTTTTTGTCAAAGTGTGATCTTTAACTATTTTTGTAGTAGTGAATTTCAATTTATCACACACACTCTCTCTCCTCTTGACCTATGAAGAAGAAGAAGAATGGATTTGCATTTGAAAATTCAAACCCTAGAAATTTATGATATGGGTTTTGAAAGTGTATGTATATGCTTTTTCATAGCTGGAGCTGGTGGATGGAGTGGGTTGGTAATCAAGTAGTAGGAGAGCGATGCAAACAAAAAGAAATGAGAGAGAAGAGGAGAGCATGTGAAGGTGAATACGTGGTACAAATGGTTTTTGTTTTAAAAATGGCAACCAAATGTTTTTGTCGCCAAAAATTTTCAATTCCCGCCTCTATAAAAATCAAATTCCCCCCCAAACTTTCTGCAACCAAAAGATCAAATTAGTCGCAAAAACAGGTTCTTTCACCGACAAAAATTTTTAGTCGCCAAATCTCAATCAACGGCGACTAAAATATTAGTCGCGAAAAGTACTAATTTGGCGACTAATTTTTTTGGTTGCTGAAAATAAGTTTTTGGCAACCAAATTTTTGGTCGCCAAAAAAATATGTGACCTTCCGCGACCAAATTTGTAGTTGGTCGGCAAAAGTATACCACTTTCTGCGACCAACATATTTTTTGGTCGCCAAAATATAACCTTCTGCGACCATAATATTTGGTCGCCAAAAATAATGATCATTCGCGACTAATTAATATTTGGTCGCCAAATGTCATTTTTTTGCGACCAAAATTTTTTTGGTCGGCAAAAGTGATCGCAAAATGTGTAAATTCTTGTAGTGTTGCATTTTTCGTAACGCAACAAAATATGTTGCTAAAAGGGAAAATTCGTTGGCAAAGAGTTTTACCGACGCACAAAGCTATGTTGGCAACCCGTAGGCAAAATTGAGCTGGCAAAAATTTTTGCCGACGAAATTATCATTGCGTTGGTAAAAGTAATGCCTTTAGCGATGATGAACATAGTCGTCGATAAAAACCTTTATCCATCGTCGGCAATTTACCTTGCGTTGCTAAAAGTCATTCAAATATGATGATTGTATGGCACTTTTCGCGACACAAATTTGCATGGACAAAAAATATACTTTTAGCAAGACACTATGCATCAGCAAAAGTAAACTTTTGGCGACACATTTACGTCGGTAAATGTTGCCATTTGCCGACGATTTGTTTGTCGCTAAAGCTTTACTTTTGGCAACACCATATGAGTCGGCAAAAGTAAACTTTTAGCAACACATTTTTCCGACGATTGTTTTGGTCGCCAAAAATTTGGGAGGGAAATTTGAACAACCAGGAGGGGGGAAAAGTAGCCAACATTTAACAAACAGCGACTAATATTTTAGTCGCCGTTGATTGAGATTTGGCGACTAAAAATTTTTGTCGGTGAAAGAACCTGTTTTTGCGACTAATTTGATCTTTTGGTTGCAGAAAGTTTGGGGGGAAATTTGATTTTTATAGAGGCGGGAATTGAAAATTTTTGGCGACAAAAACATTTGGTCGCCATTTTTAAAACAAAAACCATTTGTACCACGCATTCACCTTCACATGCTCTCTCTCTCTCTCTCATTTCTTTTTGTTTGCATCGCTCTCCTACTACTGATTACCCCAACCCACTCCATCCACCAGCTCCAGCTATGAAAAAGCATATACATACACTTTCAAAACCCATATCATAAATTTCTAGGGTTTGAATTTTCAAATGCAAATCCATTCTTCTTCTTCTTCATAGATCAGAGAGAGAGAGAGAGAGAAAGAGTCTCTGCGTGTGTGTTGTTGGGTTTGTTTGTTGGGTCTGTCAAGAAATTAGGGCAAAATCTAAAGAAAAGGGGCCTGAGGTAGTGAGGCGTAAGGAAAAATTGAAAAAAAAATATATATATATATATTTTCCCCCTCCATCTTTCAAATTTTCCCCCAAACTTTTGGCGACCAAACTCTCAAATTAGTCGCAAAAACAGGTTATTTCACCGACAAATTGTTTTAGTCGCCAAATCTCAATCAACGGCGACTAAAATATTAGTCGCTAAAAGTAGTAATTTGGCGACTATTTTTTTTTGGTTGCTGAAAATAAATTTTTTGCGACCAAATTTTTTGTCGCCAAAAAATATGTGACCTTCTGCGACCAAATTTGTAGTTGGTTGGCAAAAGTATACCACTTTCTGCGACCAACATATTTTTTGGTCGCCAAAATATAACCTTCTGCGACCAATAATATTTGGTCGCCAAAAATAATGATCATTCGCGACTAATTAATATTTGGTCGCCAAATGTCATTTTTTTGCGACCAAAATTTTTTTGGTCGGCAAAAGTGATCGCAAAATGTGTAAATTCTTGTAGTGTTGCATTTTTCGTAACGCAACAAAATATGTTGCTAAAAGGGAAAATTCGTTGGCAAAGAGTTTTACCGACGCACAAAGCTATGTTGGCAACCCGTAGGCAAAATTGAGCTGGCAAAAATTTTTGCCGACGAAATTATCATTGCGTTGGTAAAAGTAATGCCTTTAGCGATGAACATAGTCGTCGATAAAAGCCTTTATCCATCGTCGGCAATTTACCTTGCGTTGCTAAAAGTCATTCAAATATGATGATTGTATGGCACTTTTCGCGACACAAATTTGCATGGACAAAAAATATACTTTTAGCAAGACACTATGCATCAGCAAAAGTAAACTTTTGGCGACACATTTACGTCGGTAAATGTTGCCATTTGCCGACGATTTGTTTGTCGCTAAAGCTTTACTTTTGGCAACACCATATGAGTCGGCAAAAGTAAACTTTTAGCAACACATTTTCCGACGAGTTGTTTGTCGAGAAAGATTTACTTTTTGACAAAAACAAATTTGCATCGGAAAAAATAATTGAAAATCATTTATATTTTTTACAAGACTTATTTTACCGACAATTGATTATGTCGCTAAAAATGCAAAAATCGCCAGCGTATATATACTACACATGACAATAATTTTCTACAAAATGCTCTCGTTATAGCACCAGCACCTGGATAAAATACTAGTTGTAAATCCAACTTCTTTGACAACAACAGTTTTACAGTAACGAAAAGTATTACAGCCATATCACCATTAATTACCATAACTACCCAACCAAAAATTATAGTATAATCTCCTACACAACCCGTAGGAGTAGGTAATAAACAAATGGGCATAGTAGTAGCAACATCAAAGAGGAATGTATACAAAAAGTATTGAAAACTATAGGATAATCCACTTCACTGACACGATATGACGAAAAAAGTTCCAGTCACCACCAGACTTCAAAGCCAAACCATTGAACATCAAAATGACCAAAGAGCATCAAGTAACCCTGTCCATCATGAAGCAGCAGATAAGTATTACCAAGAAGATATAGGTAAAACCAATCATAAAGCAACAAGAAGGACATTTTTTTAGACACCTTTGCAACTATAGATATGGCATATAATTAAATGAAATGAAATGTGAACCAATGCTATGATATTTAAAAAACAATGCCATGAAATGTAAATCAAGCAATCCATTACGCGACAATTTTTAATGTTACAACAAAGTTCCTTTACAGTGATAGGCTATGAAATTATAGCATCACGAAGCACAAAATAACAGAACAAAGGTGACCTAAATTTTTAAGGTCCAACCTACAATTCACAATTAATGTTTAAAAAAAAAATGTATAAACTAAAATAAAATGTCATTATATTAAATTACTTATAAACCAAAACTTAATTTCAAAATCATGCTAAGCCCAAAGAAAATGTCCAATGAAACTAACTTCACCTCTACGTTGAACAAAACATTATTCTAGTTGAGGTACATCTTAGGTATATATCAAATACTTCTAAGGTACAATAAAAATTAAGAAGAAAAAGATTGTTACATATTCCGTGCACCTAGATACGTATGCAGAAGTACCATACAAAGTACCAGCACTAGGTAAGTATCCAATACTAGTGCAACATTTTGTTGAAGTACCCATGCTTCACAGATTATAATAAGGTGCTAGCTTTGTAATTGGAGAGAAGTGTACCAACTATTAATGAAAGAAT